AACCGAACCTACATTTTACTACCTAACACCGCATATCAAGAAAACTACAAAGAAAACCAAAAAAATTACCTTTTCAACGCACCAACTAGATATAATTTTCCTTTAAAAATTAACATTTACACGCTTTGTTATACTTGAAGTTTTCAAAATGTCCGGTAGAAAAGTTGTTTACGGACACAGAAAAAAATAAAAAAAAAAATAAAAATCAATACAGCCGTATAATCGGTATATTATATATTCCTTGCTTCCCTCTTAAAAAAAAAAATCCCTCTTAAAAAAAAAAAAAAAAAACTATAATATTTTTAATTTATTTTATTATTTAAGTACGCGTCGTTATACTGTTTGCCAGTGACCGATTGAAAAAAGACATTTAAAACAAATGCGCTCACTCCTTCGGAAATTGCCACGTTCGCAGGTTTAAGCATACGTAATAGCTTCTACTGTACGAATAAATACTCCGACGTGACGATAACTATACGAAAAATAACGGTTTTTTTGCAAATAGGCAAATGTTGGCGCATATTATTTGTCCATAAGTTTATCGCTATAACCGCGTGCTCATAAATTCCATTTAACGGCTGCGCGATTTTTCGGTACAATGTATGGGTACGGGCCGCAGTTTTTTTTTTTTAACCGTGTTCTTTTATCATTTAAATCTGTAATTGGTATAGGAAGTATATATCCGTTGAAATTGAATTACAAGTTCTGTTGTATAAGTACCTGTATACGTATATACAATATATAATGTGCATTATACATTAAAGTATATTCCAACTGTGCTCCGTGTGAATCGTTCCACCGTGTTCGAGTATTTTATTTTTCTTTCCATCTTATTTTTTCATTTATTTTTTTTTTTTGTTATTTAATTAAATACATTTCCAGGAATATATTCCTCCGGGGATACGTACGACCTATACAATTTAACATATTATTTATTTCTGTTTATTAATATTTGTGTTGGGTTGGTAGTAAATATTTATAATCGTGTATTACAAAAATATAAACACGATACGTATGGAAATCATAATAATAATAACATGAAACATGCATGAAGCACTCGGGTGCGTTTTTTTTTTTAATAATAAAACATAAATAAATAATACCTAATATTTATATCCGCTAAAACTAAAAATAAAAATAAAACACCTTATGTATTAATTAAAATTTATTTTATGTTGCAGTCAAATTTGTTTTCTTTTTTTTGTTATTACCCCTATTGTTATAAGTTATAACCTTTAATGTTACGACGCATCATAACTTTAATTAGGCATATATGGAATTAAAATGTTTTATTACTCAGTGAAGGGTATACGATTATATTTTTGGAGTTTTTTCTTCCGCGGCATGGGACGAAATGCCCTTTTCAATTTATATGACCTGTGTCGCTAATTAATAATTCAGTGATAACAGCGATTGGGACGGAATGTTCAATATTGAATTACCTATGATCAAAATTGCATTTGTTTTACCGAACAAAAAATTAAGGATATAATTTGTCTTGTAGCTCTAAAGAATAAAGTACATGTTTAGCTCGTGTACCGTTACGCGTACACACAATAATAATATTATTACGTGAAATGGCTTATTACCTAGTACAACATATAATTTAGGTAATTATTATACTTAGGTATGAATACTGTGAGTAAATGTAATGTTTACGAGGAAACAAATAGCCGTCTTCTAACGTTTAGTATTACCATACTGTTCAAACAAAACAATATCTACGCGCATTCATATCCCTCTAGACATATATCATTGTAAGTTCTTTTTTGAAAATAATGAACATTGATTGTCGAAACGATTAAAAATCCACATACTTACACATTTTATGACACGGAAATGCCACGATACTATGTATTTATATTTTATTATATACACGTTTAAATTGGATCAATGATTGTAATTATTTAAATTTAAAGAAAATTCTGCAGTTCCATGTATATACAAGGTAATTTTTTTTTATTATGAACCAGCAATTGTTTTGGAGGATTTTAAATGAATTTGATTTCTGGTTTTTTTTTTTAAAGTTATTGCTGAAACGTTTAAGCTGTATTTAAAACCGTTTTAAATGTTCACCTCTACTCTATATACCTCAAATAAGTGTATACTTTTGTTTTTCAAATATAAATCGCCCTTTTTGAACACAGATTCGAATAGAGAATATTTGTATAGACATTTTGATACGTATATTTTGCTACTAATATTATATTTGGCGTTTCTAAGTTATAACCGTTTAAAGTTTAGATCCGGAAGAATTATTAATCGCCATTTAAAAATATATATGCAACTCATTACTCTCCCCTACTCCTTTGGTCTAGACTTTAAATGGTTATAGTTCATAAACGGTATATCTAATATTAGTATTAAACATATCAAAGTATCTATACAAATATTCTCTGTTCGAATCAGTGTTCAAAAACGGCGGTTTTTATTACAATAGTATATTATTATATATTATATATTATAGTATATATTGAAAAACAATAGTATATTATGCTTGTTTAAGGTATATAAAGTAGAGTAGTTTAACCAATTGCACAATGATTAAAAAAAAAAAAAAAAAACAAATAAATGGGAAAACCCGGGAAAAAAACATGGGAAACCGTAGGAAGAACTAGAAAATATTTAAAATATTTGGTTCTGCTGTAATTTTTGATACAGATTTAGATATTTATTTTTGTACATAATAAGTGATCATGATGTGCTTAATTCAATTTGTATCAACTTTGTATAGAATCTAAATTTAAAATGGCGTTTTATAATAATAAAATAATGTTAATGATTATTTTATAAATATTTGTGTTTTGTTGTTGTTTTCTAACAAGAACTATTTTACTCGATAACTGAGAATTAGTATTGAGTAAAGTAAGTAATATCGAAATAAAATTAATATTGAGTTTCGAATATTTAACTCTAAACTGTTGGTATCGCTCATCACTAATAATAATATTAAAGTTGGATCCTATTATAAGTGAAGTCACGATTAACGGATACAAGCATTTTGGTGGGTTATAACGGTGTTATACAGAAATATGAAACATAGATTTTCGAGTAAAATAAACCGAAGTCGGGTTTTACGAGCTCAGCTCAATCCACTTATGGGTGCAGTTGTATTCGTAATTGTATTATTATTATTATTATAAATAAAATTTAAATTTATATTTCTCTTGTATCCAAGAAATAAATACACCATAAAACGCGCGTTTATATTGGATCAGAATAATATTATATAATATACCCTTAGCATATACTAACACGAAACAATAATATTATTTTCTTAGCTAAATTTATTTTTGTGCTTGCCAGACGTGTCGTTTAAATAAAACCGTTGCTATAATTTACTTTTGCAATAAAAAATTAACTGTATGTATTTCCCAAAAATGCATATCAACATTATGCAAAGAAATGTATGATACGGCAATAAAATGGGTAAAATAAAATAAAATAAAAGCCGTAAAAGTTTGAGCTGTGATTATTTTATATCTAAATAATAAAATAATAAAAACTTAAATTATTTTTTTTTTTTTTTTTTTACGTAGTATGAGTATAATAGATGAAAATTATACACCCACGCACAAATAATTTATTGTGAAACTAGTATTACATTATTTTTCTCTTTCAGATTATATTATTACTATGATTGTGCGGTTATAGTAATACGGTAATATGTTAATATTTAATATTTTCTATCGAAATGTTTACTTCGTTTAAATGTTCAAGGTATGTAGAATAGGTATGTGATAATCCGTTAGTATACAGATAATTTTAATTGCATTTGTAATTCTGTGATTTTTGTGTTATAAACAAATTAACTACATCAATTTGTTATTGAACGTTACCTTCTCATCTATGCCAAAATAGCTGTAATGGAATATGAGAGTAATACAATAAAAGTATGTTCACTATTAATTGCCGTCTTGCAGCAGCGTGTTAATTATTTTGGGGTATGTTATAAAAATCAGGGGAATAAAACAAAGGATTTGAATTTAAGGGAATGATAGAAAAACAAGAAAGTTATTCCACAAAAAAGTAAAAATAGGTAAATAATAAACAGGAAGTTAAAAATGTTGTATTAAATATTATACAGTATGTGATCACAATTCAAAGTAACACTGAATATTATTTATATTATTATATTATTGTGATTCATTGCGCTCTATATATATATAACATAACATTTTTAATTTTCTAATTTTTAAATTCCTGTTGATTATATTCCCGGTTTTTATTTTTCTGAACGATATCTTATTCTTTCCATATTTTTTCCTGAATGTAGTTTTCACAAATAACATATTTTCCTGATTTTCTCATTTCTATGTTAAAGTTGTCTGTGTCTTAAGTGCTTCCATATGGGTGTGTAGATGGTTTGGTGTCCACAGAACAATTACATCTTGAGTAGATAATGAACTAGATTATGCTTGATCAAACATATGCAATCTAATAGACTAGATATATTATGATTAATGAGCGTACACGTTTTCCATTGCAAATGTTTTATGTAGGTATACGAGCTATCAATATTTGCCATAATAATAGATATTTATTTAATTAAATATAATTGTGCAAAAAAATTAGCCAGTAGCATAATTTATTCACTTTTTCTAATTTCTATATCAAGCCATTTTATTAATAATATAAAATATTATCATAAATCAATACACCCAATAAAAAAAAATCAATCAATCAATTCTGATAAATATCGTCAAACACAATAATTCAGCCTAAACATTATGGGTGTTATCTTTTATATCAGATGTAAGAAAATAATTTAATTTACGGGGGTGTTATACGAGTTATTACGTGGTAGATGTTTTAAAAAAGCGGTTCGCCACTTCCGTCTTCTACAGGCCACAACTCAAATACATATTCAACTGTTATATAATAGAGCTGATATGTTACCGGCGCATATTATTAAATCAACAATTGTCAAACTGTGTCGTTCTCTAGATGACGATCTGTTATTTCTTTGCAACACAAGATCTATGATTCTACTCTTGTATCGGTGAAGAATGTGAAATACCTGGGTTTTATTTACACTCCCACACTTGACTTTCATTCATACATTGAACCGTCTTCTTATAGGGCTCTCAAAGTACTAGGATTTTTCAAGCGAATAGCCTCTGAATTTAAACTTGAGTATTCTTTAAAATCTCTTTATTGTTCCTTAGTTCGATCTATTATTGAATATGGATCCGTGTTATGGAATCCTCACACATCGTCAAGCTCCTTACAATTAGAACGCGTCGAGAGACACTTCTTATTATTCGCTTCCTATGTTCTGAAGATTGGTCATGTCCCGCATGACTATTTCCCTGTTCTCAGTGTACTCAAACTCACACCACTAGCTAATAGAAGAGCGGTTGCAAATTTATCAATTTTACATAAACTCTTAGATGGTTCAGTAGATACCCCCACTATCCTTTCCGTTATTAACTTCAGAATTCCCTCCGTTTCTATGACCCTTTCTCTGTACCGAATTGTTCCACAAACTACGGTCGCAACAACCCTATCTATCGTATTATGCTCATGACTACTGAATAACCAACCTTTTTACCATAAACACTTTGTATTGTTTTGTCATTATTTTTCTGTAAATTAAAAATTATACTTATATATAATATGTGATTAAGCTTGCTAGTAATGTTTTAAATAAATAAATTACACGTGGTTGTACTTATTTGTATTTATTATCGCGTTCGTGTAAGCGTATTATGTTCGGTTATAATAAAATAATATTGTAATTGTTTTTTTTTTTAATAAACTTGTAATTTTGTTTAGGGGACAGATAAAGAAACAATGAATCATTGAACATAATCTTAAAATATATTCCAATACTACTTGGTCTGAGGCCTAGCAGAAATAATAATATGATCTTAAACCAGATGCCAATGCACCTATACACGTTTTTTTTGTCAAACCCGATGGTTTCAAACTCGTTAGCTTTGAACCCGATTAATTCCGTATGCGACCTAATTTTTAAATCAACTTTTTTATGTTTGAGATGAAAAAAAATAAAATAAAAACCAGACATTTTATACGTTTCGTTCTCATTCAGCACACATCAGTTGACCCGAACAGGATTGTTCTAGAACGTCTAAATTAGGCTTGACATTTATATTTTTATTTTTTTAATTTCGAATAGTACAGAAAATAAAAATAGCCCCATTTCTTCATTAAGGAATACTATTATATCTAATATACCTATAATACTATATTGTAAACTTCTGTTTTTTGACATAGGCGTGACGTCAACCTGCAACGGTTGTTCGTCCCATCGCTACGTGACAAAATACGTCCGAGTCGGTCCTGTATAATATAATCGAATAATTGTCAAAAACGAACTTTTTGCCGTAGGTAGTATCCATGTTATTGTATAAACTCGTTGAAAGACTGTCGACGAAAGTAATCGAATTATGCGAACAGTTTGTAATTTGTTTAAATGGTAAAATGTTCACGAAGATGGGAGAAGGTTTTTTTTTTTTTTTTTTTTTTATTTTGTCAATTTCGGTAACGTTACCTGAGTAGCATATAATATGATATATATTGTATTGTTAATATCCCATACTGGTCGTCATAGGCATGGCTACGAATGTGCAGGGTGTACAGTTACCCACTATTGGAGTCGCGTCAAGATTCTTAAATTAGAAATATATTTAATTATAGTTATAAACAAAAACTAAAATAGTTTAATAACAATATTATTTTTTATATGTGATACTAATATATTATATGTGTTATCACTCGTTGTTATCAAATGAAGATAAATTAAAAGATGAAATACATTAAGTAAACACATTTGAATATCTCGAAAACGGATCCACGACAAAAATAGTTCATAGCTGGGTACAAAATATGATGGTTTCTTGTACAAATTTCAAGTGCTTTTAAATTTTGTGACTAAACAATTCGTAAGCTAGCAGCTTTTCTTGTGAACGACAATTTTCTAAAGTAAACAAAAATGGCAAAGCAAAATTAAAAACCGGATTCGTGCTCGTAATATTTGTGGAACAATGTCTTACAACTTGAATTAACGATGATAAAGTCATTGAAGTGTTAAAAATTTAAAACACTACATGTGATGACTCAATAGTTTTTAATTAAATCATAAGACGTTTAGCGTTTCAAAAAAATGAAATGATAATGAACCGTTATAAAACGATAAAATGTTCTAATACAATTTTGTTTTTGTATATTTCTACACTGCGTTTGAACAATATTTTTAATTTACAAAACTATTATTACGAATAACTTTGGACGGTATTGGTATGACGTGATGGTTATATTCCACCTATCTAACTTTTTACAAAACACTTAAACTTCATGTACTGAGAATAATTTCGTGCGAGGGATTTGTTCACCGAACACTGCACAGTTCGTTAAAAATAATTTTCCATCGTGGCTGTAGTAATAAAGTATAATATGGTCGGCTACCCAGCACACGGCTTTCTAAATCAAAATTAAAAATAACAGTAACCTTAATTGAGTAAATATTCCGGTTGAATCTCATGAACGCCATATGAAAACAGGAAAAATGTATACAAAAATACCGAAATGGTATGACGGAAACGCTTAATTTCACATTGCAATTTTTAGACTCTACGTAAAGCGAGAAATGTATTGGTTTTATAACTATATTTATAATGATTTTTTTTTTCCATGAACACTTTTTTTTACTAGAAAGCATCCTCCGGTTATCAAGTATAACACCTTTTCTGAAAGGAAACGTTCTCTGGGTGGTACTTTAGAGAGGTCATTTTTTGAAATGCTCATTAAAATTCGAGATAATGAGGAAAAGTTCGGTATTTAGGTTATAAATGATTGAAAGAAAAAAAATAGGTTGTCATTGGCAACCGTTTTTATTTATTTTTTGTTACTATTAAGTTTTGATTATTTTAATATTTTTTAAACAATTATTGTTGTCGTGGAAATGCACATTGTTGTAATCATTTTACCATAATATATGATATATACCATATATTGTATTGTTAACAAAACAACACTATCTACTGAACTCCGCTATAAAACGTTTTTTCGTTAGCAATGGTTTATCGTTGCTTACAAATGTATATTAAATTTCCGTTTGTGTTCTATGTTCCTAACTTCCCACCTACAACAGTGACTGCACCCACGTGCGAAGTATGTCCGTCCTTTTTTTTTCTTGCCGTAAACATTTATTCTATCAGAAATTTTATTCCAGTCATACACTTTGTAATAACTTTCTTATAGCATTTTTGAAGAAGATATATTTTTATTTTCCATCGTAGTTTTCTGATAACAACGGTTTTCTTGTCACAGATTTGTATAGTCTACTAAAATCGACTGACGGGGATTTTGCTGAGTATCCGATAATATAAATATATACTTACACGACGTACTGGATCTCACGATTATCCATTGGATCTCTCTTGCTTCCGGTTCCTCTGGCTATCACGATCGAACGCGTCCAAAGAAAACGTATACGCTTTTGTCCGACCGAATCTACAGCAGTTCCGCATCGACCCGGCCTTTGCTATTATCCCGCGGTGTCTAGGCCTGGACACACTCCGGCCACAACCGGGATTTTTAGCATTTATATGTCGTTTCTCGGGAGACTATTTTCCGGTCGCACGCGGTACCCCGCCTTCGTTAGCAGCTGCCCATTACACGATCATCTGTGCGCCAGACTATACCGAACTACCATCACGCCGTTGCACATTGTTTGTCTAGGTCCGAGTCTCTTTCAAATCACAAAGTCGTCCTCTGTCCCGGTTCTTGCGCGCCCTTTAACCGCATCTCCGGCGTTATTATCACACAAAGGACATTTCTATGATGGCCATTGATAAAAAATAATATGATGTTTTATTCTCAACGTAGTACAATATAATTTATACTCTACAATAAAATAGATTTACGGTAATTACCACCGATGGCTAACACTTGTATACAATATAAAATGTTGATTGTTGATATTGCAGATCCAGAGCGGCTGCATAATAAAGATAATCGCAGTCGGTTTTCAAAATGTTCTCTAGTTTTATAAATTTCAAATTTCAATGATCCGGTATCTATTTAAAGAGAAGGGTTATAGCCAAATAACGGACGAGTGTAACGTTTTAAAACTGAAAAGTCAGACAACAATGTAATGATCGGGATATGAAAGGTTATGATAGAGGCGATTTTAAAAATATTTTTTTTTTCAGCTGTAATATCGATTAACAAAAATAGGATATTTTTCTGTTAAAATTGTTTGTATAATATATACAATTTTCAGAATATTACAGAGGATACTGTACTTAGGTTGATAAAGTGCTGAAAGCTAAACAAAATAGTAAGAATTGTGTTTGACAGGTTTTAATATTAAAAACGGAATATAATTCTTCAGGTTCTCCACTAGAATATGTTAAAAATATACATTTAATTATTTCAATGGCAATTGGAAAAAAAAATTTGGTTATATATTTGACAATTTTTCAAAAAAATTTTGACTGGGTTTTATCTTTTGAGATTTCAAAGCCTTCTGAATCATATTTCGTTTTCAAAATTGGAATCTATCAAAAAAAAATGACTATTATTTTGTCTCGTTTTTTGGTCAAAAATGCCATATTCGTCCATAAAAACGGCTGTACCCCATTCTTTTAACTGGGTGTCAGGCAGTAGATTAGTGAAAAAGCGTATCATTAAAATGTCAAAATTTAAAAGAAAAAGTTCAAATTTTACTAAATAGAAAAATATGTGAAAAACCGTCTGAATACGAGCACTTTATTTCAACGACTGCAATTCCCTTAACAAATTAATTTTTATATCAACCGAAATCTTTACAACATCTCTAATGCCCGCTTTCAAGCTAGTAGCACTACTAATTCAAAATTTAGAACCGCATTCTATTAAATGAACCTGCCTTGAGTTATAATTATGCGGTTCTAGTTTGATAAACTGGCCTAGTGTAGATCGAGCATAATATGAATTAAAGTTATATTTCATGACATATATCCATATTAATTTATTACAAAACCACAATGGTTTCGATTATTTTTCTTTTGGGTTGGAGTGTATATAGTTTTTATAAGTCACCGTATAGATCATATACTGATGCTGAAAAAAACAAAAATTATTGGAATGAAGGTTGTATAATAATAATATATTGTATACTTAACTACACGTCAGAATAAAATCTTAAAAACAATATAAACGTGTACAGTTTATGTTTGAGTGTATAGATTTTATCCGGTAAAACAATGGACATTTTTTAACTCCCAATGTTCCCAAGCGTATATACATATGTATGCAACTTCCGATCAATTGATCAATATAGTATTAAAGGAGAGTATTAATAATGTTAAAAAAAAAAAAAAGGCCAGAGAAAAAATATATAACAATAAAATACGTACTTCATTGTGAAATCAGGCTCCGCTAAAAATATAAAATCCCTAAACTTTAACGATAAAACGTTCATTTCAGATCAAACACACACAGCATCGTAAATTCGTAATGTAGCGGAAGAATGAAATTATAAAAAAACTATTAAAAATGGTCGACTCAAGTCAAGACTGTTAAACTACAATCTTCTATATATTTTATTATCAAGCAGATTTATCTATAAAGTTGAAATTATGATTTATTCACAAAGATATTATTATCATATTACGATTTGTTTGAAATTTAAACAGTCATAAGTTTAACTATTGACAAATTAATAAAATTATTAAAATGCTCGTCGAATAATTAAATAGATAAGTAAAAACGTATTATTATCTAAAATTGTATTTATAATTTCTTGGCCATGAATGTTAGTTATTAATTTTTTTTTTTTCATTTTATCACTTATCTAGATAACTTTAATTTTAGTATAAAAATTATAACGAATAAGTTTATCGTAAAAATCTAAAGTATATTTTAAGTGTAGTTAGATGATTATACTTAAATATTAAATGCAATAAGTTATAGTTTTTTTTTTCTATCAATTGTCAAAAGCATTTTCAACTTATGGACATTTCTAGGAAAGTCGTCTCTTAAATGTATAATTACCGAATTCAATCCTTAGCTACTGAACGAAAAACTTAATCAGAACTCATACAAATGTACAAAGTCGATCCAACTTAGTTAAATTAATTTACGATTTCAGTTTATGGGGAAAAAAAGAATAGAACAACCGCTCAAAATTTAAAAATTGGCTAATTTGAGTTCAAGTACATAGAAGTATAATAATAATTTATTTCTGTTCATTAATAATATATAGATTCAATTAACTGATATTATTAATTTATAGATTTTTAAATGGTTAAATTAATGGCATAAACGGCACTTGGTAGAAACTCACGAGATGCAAAAATTCTCATTCTGGTTTTTTACCCCACACCCTCGTAAAATATCTAACTAATAATCTATTACTACTACCATAAAATTCATAATATTAATAATTTTATCAAATTAATATTCCATATTGTGCTATCTAAACATAATAATGAATCGTAAAATCACCATGGCAAATAATAATATACAGGTTATGGTATCAATAATATTACTCTTATCAGTTGATCACTTATTAGTTTTAGACCGCGTATTTACTCGTATAAAAAATTAAACTTTTAACTCCTTAAAAAAAATCCTACCACTGCAGCCTCATGCCCTCCACTGAATAATGGTTTAATACCGGTTAGTATTGTTTTTTTTTTCAAATATAACGCTGTTTAAGTTTTCGAAATATACTAAATGATATTAATAGATAATAATCCAGGTTTTAAATCGATTTCACCGCTGTATGTAACTACATAACTCGTATAATATTATGGCAATATTTATATTTATTCACATACCGGAAACGGCGCGATCTCTAGGGGTGCAGGACCTACATTCTTTCGTTAATATTTTATAGTTGAAAAAAAAATACAATAAAAACTGGCATAACATTGTTATTCGCGTCGGTATAGTGAAAATAATTCTTTGGACTCTCTACATTTCTACACTGTTTTATACCGAACCGTGTATAATTGTACACGTGTACACCTAACTTATACTTGTGAATATAAAAGGGAATAACGAATTGTTTCCATATCCGTTTTCGACGTTACATTTAAGTGGTCGACACCACTAGCTGACCCTTTCAACGCATTAATGTGTCTGCGTAACTAACATTAAACGCGTCTAGCTGTAAAAAGCCAAATAAATTACGATTTTAGTTTTGCGTAGGTACTCTCATTCGCGAAAACGTTATAATAAAATATTATATTATATAAACGTACCTGCGTGTGAATTGAACTGTATAATAGGGTACTTAAAAGATTTAAAATCATTTTTGAGTTCATTGTAAATAGTTATTTCCAAAAAAAAAATTATTTTCAAATCAATATTTAATTTTAGATTGCAAGTGTATAATAAACAGAGGCTGTATTAGTATAGCTAAAATGTGTTCTTTATTCTCATTTTTTTTTTCATACAGTACCTTAATAGATGCGGAATTTCTAGTCAATAGTTTTTAATTCGAAAAATCGTTCTAGATTTCGGACGGTTTCTTTTAAAAATTAAAAAATCCGACAGCAAAAATGGTTTTATTGTTGATTATTTCTGGGTTACCTTAGCTATATACAAGAAAAATATTACAATTAACAGCTCTCAGAATCTATTTTCGATTGAAATATTATAATCATTACTTTCAGAAAATAAACTTAATTCCCTTTTATCCTATACCTGACCAAGTTCCCTCCTACAATATAGTGACCTACCTATGGAGCGAAGTATATCCGGAAAAAATAAAACGGTTTTTTGTTATATCAAACTCAAATATAAATATAATAAATCTCTTTTTTGCATACATAATTAATGCATCTTATTTAGCGATAGTACCTACAGAATATACGTGTATATAAGAGTTAAAATTATTCGTATTCAGAACTTGCATATAAAACAAACAAAATAGGCTCATCTCTTGAGCAATCAACAGTGGATTTTAATATTGAATCACTCGAAAAGAGAAACAAGATTATTGATATGCTTTGACTCTAGATGTTACTCAATTCTCAAATTTTCTCAAATCAAAACATTCTATTCAAAATAAACCGACCGCAAAAATTTTTGTAATTTTGCTCCGATTTATAAAATACTAAAATATTACAAGCAATTCAATACAACTTGCTCATTGTTTCAACATTGAATCAACCAGATTAAAATTCTTACTTTTATTTACGATTTATTTAATATTATATTTTTATTGATTATGTGCACCCATAATAATTTTATCTCAAGTGTTTTGTAGTATTTACTGTACTAAACTCACTTTAGGGTGTTTATTACTAGGGCGTTAACATTTTTCCAACTCTGTTAAGTTCGAAATAGTATGAAACAGTATAATGACCATAAGTAATAAATATTAAATTGAAGATTACTGTTATATCACTTTCGATTACGATTTACTATTTTGTTTACAACACGAGCGGTCACAATTTGACCAATAAAATTAAACAATTTGAAAACCACATTCAGGTTTAAGATTTGATAGAAATCAATAAAATTAAGTAAATAATATTATTCATTAAAAGAAACTCTAAGCAACTGCTGTTAAAAGTTTAACTATGACTGCTATTATTCTTTTGGCTATTATACCCATTTTATTGTATGGATTAAAACCGTATCAAGTACTTGTAGTGCTTTTTCGAAGCATAAATAAATAACGAACGATTTGGCAGCATTACGTTTATTTGTATGCTCAATCGTGTTGTTCCTTTTTTTTTTTTTTTTTTTTGTATCCCTTTTACACCGCTAATTTGTTCAGTCGGGATGTAAAAAGCACAACCGTACTCTACGGAAAGTACTTCTTAACCTTTTTTGAGTACACGTGATCCGTTTTTTTTTTTGCAATGATAAAATCATTTTAAAATAATAATTATTACATAAGTGTATGAGATGATGAATTGAAATAAAATAATTTAAATTTAAAGACTCCGTTATTATGATTGGTTTGATATACTTTCCTAAATCTTGGGTTCAATGGATATTACTAAACTAATTATTCTCATTGTTTAAAAAGTCACAATATATTGATTTTTGAGCCACCGTTCTAATGAACGGTCAATAATTCGTTTTTTTAACGTATGCCGGTCAAGCGGGAATTATTATGTCGTTTTAAATCCACCCTAATCCATAGGTATAACAATTCAACATTTTAATTTTTTAATTGTTAGAGATCAAAATATTGATGGTTTTAAATCGCATGAACTGATTAAACACTATCTGAAAAATAATATTGCGAAAGTTGTGTTTGCAGTAAAAAAAAATGCAGTTAATCATTTTATTTCTTACACATTTATCCAGCCATAAGAAAATGTTTTATTAAATATTATACAAGCCTTTGTTCATTTTCTTCTGTTGAGCGTTTAATTTCTTTTGCATGAATTCTTACGCATTCTCTGTGCCGATCTAATATGTTTATCAAACAACAAATTTGAAAAATCATATTTTTTTAAAAGACAATCAATAATTAATCAACAATATTCAATAATTATTTATTGATTATTACATTTCTTGTTGCCATAATTATAACTATTATAGCGAAGTAAATAAATCTACAAATTAAAAAAATTAACGTATCTTATGTTTTTTCAAATTTTGTAATGTACCTTTTGTATCTATGTGAAAATATTTTATTTTTAGTATCTTGTCCAACACTGTGCTGCTTAAGAACGTTTTTGGTTTATATTGATGTACGGTAAAAGATTTGCATGACTACGCATATAATATCATCATAATATAACAAAAACCAATGGGTAGGCACCCAAGGCGTTTTAATGAAAGCCGAATTTATTATTTGTATAGCAACGTATTAACGATCCAAAATGTAATTCGTGCACAACCCCAAAGGGAGTAGCGTACCTACTTCGCATTGGGAATCACTGATCCGTAGAACCGTAACCAACTCCGTACGCGATTGTTTCCATACACGTGTAATATTTTGCAACGAAAAGTTTAATTTTTAAATCCCGACTCACTTCGTAGGCAGTGTAGTTTACCCTTTTGTAATGGGTTTATGTGGACAAAAGCCAATATTGTATTATTATTTTGAATTTAATCGCAATAGTTATGAAATTCTAAACGTATCTATAGTCTCTTTATGTACCGTACAACTGTAACGTTCACTTTTTTTTTTTTTTTTGGTTTCACGTCGTTTTCTATTTTTTCTTTACTCTTCACAATGTATTTCACACACTGTAAAGCTTCAAAAGTTCCAATTTTTTTAAATTTATACTTTATAATTAAATACATAAAATCGATACACGAAAGAGTTGTCAAACAATATTCTACAGTCATATAATTATGACTGTTCAAATTATTATATCATACCGTTAAAATTTAATATTCTGGACTATATTCATAACTAAATCATATTAGAATTAAACAAAGACAACAATTACAATTTACACAAAGAGATTAAAATTCTAAGTTTTCTCTTATTTTATTTTATTAATAACAATAATATATGTATAGACTATAGGTAAATTTTATATTTGTATGATAATTACATAATTATTGAGTGATGGTTTATTGTATTCCTATCTCGTTATAAAAATGGCATGTTGTAGATCTTCATTAAATACAAATTTAAATTCACTGTTAAAAAATTAAAAATAAATATTCTGAAAGTATAAACCGTCTTTGTCTTTTATTTAACGAATAAATTAGATAACATCTGATAAGCAAAAAGATATATCTTGGAAGAAAAATATCTATGTTTGACAAACCAATACTGTTCATGGAAAAAATTCTTATGAAATAATATCTAGCTAATTTTTGATCAAATTTTCCACCGCTTATAATACGTCTAAAATAAACTGCTATTACTTGGTCCATAAATAATTTTAAAGTGTATAACACATTTAATTAAATAAAATATTAACCAATATGTGAGAGATTTAAATTATTTAATGGGTATCTAGTGATCATTTTGAGTTCGCATTTATTTCAAATTCTGAACGGAACGAGGAACATATTAATATTACAATTAGATTTTTTTTTCTATAAATAACTTTTCTACCAGAAATTTTGCTCCAATTTTCAAATGTAGTATTTTTTTTTTTGAAAGAAAATTGGACTGAGTTGTTACTTAAAAAAAGGTTATTTTTTTGAGTTTCACATAATAGTGAGTTTTCATAATAAATGGAAAAACCGGAAAAAACATAAGAAAACGGAAAAATGTACGAAATGTATTATTTTAAAATCGTAAATGTTACGGCTTTTC